AGGGTTAGGTTAAGGGTTAGGGTTAGATTTAGGGTCAGGTTAAGGGTTAGGATTAGGTTTAGGGTTAGGTTTAGGATTAGGTTTAGGGGGGTTAGATTTAGGTTTAGGGGTTAATTTTAGGTTTAGCGTTTACAGCGTGCTTCTGTCTCCGCGCTGTTGTCGCCCTGTGATGACGTCAGCTACGCGGTTTCGTTCGTTCCCTTTAGTCGAACGCGGTTTTGTGGTGGAACCACTTTATTTTGGGTTGGTCAAATAAAATCTTGCCATTCTGGCTGTGCTCCTCTCCTAATACTCCTGTAAAATAGGGACGTGCCTATGAATCATGTACAACTAGTCCTCTACTTACGACCACAATTAGGCCCAACATTCCTGTTGCTAAGCAAGGCATTTCTTAAGTGAGTTTTGTCTTTACTTTATGAGCTTTCTTGCCACAGCCGTTAAGTGAATTCAAGCTGTTAAATTAGTAACTAATTAGTAAATTAGTTAAGTGGATCTGGCTTCCCCATTGACTTTGCTTGTCAAAAGGTCACAAATGTTGATCACTATGACCCCGGGGCACTGCAGCCGTCATAAATATGGGTCAGTTGCCAAGCGTATTAATTTTGATCACATGATCAAGGAGATGGTCAGAAGTGTGAAAAAACGGTCATAAATCATTTTGTTCGGTGCCGTTGTACCTTTGAATGGTCACTAAATGAACTGTTGTAAGTCAAGGACTACCTGTATACCTCCCCCCCCCCTTTGGATTTAAGTCAAAACAGTTTGTGCTATAGTTTAATGGTTTATAACCACAGTTTAGCTATCCTTCCCCTCCCCTTATACTCATGTGAAATAGGGAGGTGTGTCTATGATTCATTTTGCATTTAAGTTGAGCAGAATTTTGGAAGTCTTATTGTACTTGTCCCCAATGTGAATTAGGGAGGCATCTACGAAGCAAGTGTGACTCTTGACCCCACCTTATACTCATGTGAAATAGGAAGGTGTCTATGAACCATGTATACGTTTGTTTCTTTATTAGTTAATTAATTAAATTTATATTGCCACCTATTTGCCCAAGGCGGCTTACGGAAAAATAACACCACATTTAAAACAATAAAATTAATAAAAAGAATCAAATAAATTAATATAGAACAATATAATAAAGTCGCCGCCCGGCCCCAGGGACACCCGATAACATGAGCCATTTAATGGGCTCCCTCCCGCTCTGGGTTCCCCAGGCTGGCTGGCAGAACCAGGTCTTCAGCGCCTTCCAAAGGATTATTAGAGTGGGGGCCTTTCTAATCTCCGCGGTAATGATGTTCCAGAGAGAGGGAGCCACCACAAAGAAGGCCCTTCTTCTGGGTGCCCTGGTGAAGTATTTTAAAGGAGATTCGGGTTAATGTCAGGGTTCCAAATAGCATCCAAAAGTAAATCAGAGTCTGAGGTAAAAGATTCCTTGAAGTCCCAATTGATTAAGAGAGCCATGTTGGCACAGCTGGGAAAACCCAAATCTGAAAGCTTCCCGGTTTTCCCCACCCGGTTGAAAGTTCAAGATCCTGCCCCCCACACCCACAAGTCCACCCCATGGTCCAATCTCCCACTGCCACGCTGGCAGCTTCCACCCATCCAGTTCTGGCTAGGTGCAGAAACAAAGGATGACCTTGGCTTCCTAGAAAGAATGTTGTTATGGCTACACACCATCTAACTCCGTACAATCCCCCTTCCCATTTTTCCACAATAGAAAATTGCATAATAGAATAATAGAAAGTGTGGCAGGCCTAAAGTCTAAAAAGGGAAAGATGGCTTGCAGGACTGACACTGGGTCCCACCAGGTGTATCTCCCTTAGGGATGGGACCCGTATTCCCTGCCTCTCTGCTCTGATGGGTTGGGTAGATGTGACCGGCAAGAGATGGTACCTCAGATAACCTGGTCACAAGCCATGAAGGGCTTTAAAGGTGACAATCAGCACCTTGAATTGCACCCAGAAGCATATCGGCTGCAATGCAGCTCCTGCAGGAGATGTGACACATATGCACACCAGGGTCTCCACAAAACCGTGCAGGCCGCTGCATTTTGCACCAACTGGAGCTTCTGGATGCAAGTCCACCAGGGATGGGTTTCAGCCGGTACGCATCGGTATGTGAGTACCCGATCGTGAAATTTAGCGTGCCTTCCCGTACCTGAGCTTCCAGAGGCCTCGTACTGGAATGCTCCCTCCCCTGGCCTGCCCCCCCCCGCCCAGTCACCACTAGCTCCCTCTCTCACCCTGCCTGTCCGCACCAGGCTTGCCCCGCCTACCCACTTCCTTTGCCGGAGTGGAGGATTGGGAGAAGCCCATGTGGCATGTCCTCACTTCTCTTTGACAGCCGCCTGGTTTCCAATGGGGGGGGGGGGGAAGAAATCCATGCGTTTCCTCCCTCTGCATGGGTTTCTCCCCATGGAGAAACCAGGCAGCTCTCTCTCTCTCTCTCCCTCCCTCCCTCCCTCTCTCTCTCTCTCGCACGCACACACACACACATGCACACTGCTAACAGCCACATCCTCTCCCTGGCCCTGAGGTCTAGACTGCTGCTGTGCCCACACAACCCACTGTGCACATATCTACGAGGAGAACGCCTCCCTCTGTGCCCAGCTAGGTTTTAGTTATACAAGCCAGATCGACCTTCTCTTTGGGGATCAAATCAGCAATAAGGTTAGCCTTATTGCAAGCTGATCTGACATTTAAAAGCAGCAGCCTAAGATCAGGGATCTGCTGACTAGGTAAATCAGCTGAGTTCAAGGGGGCAAAACACCAGACTGGTACTAAACACCGGGATAGCGTTCCCTGTGTCTCTCTCCCCCGCCACCTCCTGAATCTCCTGTTACCCAATACCACTGAAATAGATAGTCCTCTTCTGCCTTCCCTGAGAACAATTCCATCCGCAGAAGAGCCGTGGTGGTGCAGTGGTTAGTGTGCAGTACTACAGGGCTACTTCTGCTGACTGCCAGCTGACTGCAATTTGGCAGTTCGAATCTCCCCAGGCTCAAGGTTGACTCAGCCTTCCATCCTTCCGATGTGGGTAAAATGAGGAGTCAGATTGTTAGGGGGAAGAGGTTGATTCTGTAAAACTGGTTAGAGGGGGGTTATAAAGCANCTATCTATCATCTATCTATCATCTATCTATCTATCTATCTATCTATCTATCTATCTATCTATCTATCTATCTATCTATCTATCTATCTATCTATAATATTGTGCGGACCTGGGTGCTCCCTCAGTTGGTGTGTTTTTTTTGCAGACATTTCATGACCCAACTAGGGAACCACTTCAGTGCTGGAGGGATGATATATAAACAGAAAGCACCCCCCCTTGCTTCTAGCACTGAGAATCACTCTAAAAGGCATTTTTTGTTCTTCAAAAGACAACTGGATTTTCTTGATGTTTTCTTTGAAGACATTTTGCTTCTCATCCAAGAAGCTTTAAAAGTTCTGATTGAGGGGGGGGAAGCCCCAGATTCCTTTGGATCTTCCCTTTTTTCTTCCCTTCCCTTTTCTTTCCTCATTCCTTTCCTTCCTTGCCTCCCTCTCTTTCTTCTTCTTTCTTTCTTTTCTTTCTTTCTTTCTCTCTTTCTTTTTCTTTCTTCTTCCTTACCTCCTTCCTTTCTCCTCCCTCTCCCTTCCTTCCTTCCTTCCTTCCTCTCTTTCCTCCCTCCCTCCCCGTCTCTGATTTGCAGTGCAATAACACCCCTCCCCTCCTTAAAACCATCAAATATAAAGACCCCCCCCAATAAAATCACAAGTCCAAACGGAATTAAGATCGCCAAATCTTCCCGAGGGAATCTTCTTCTGATTTTTCAGGCGGGCGGGGTGCGGCGGGGCAACCACGAAGACCCGGTTGCGAGGAAGGGCTTGGGGAAGGGGGGGGTCGCCTAAGGGTCGCCCCCTTGGGTTGCGGTGGTGGGGAGGAAGACGCCATCCCCAAAAACCTCGCGGGGCTGTTACGCGGGGAGGGGGGGAGACAAACTGGAAAGCCTGCAAGGAGGAATAAAGCGATCCAGAATAGCCCATCCTCTCTTAGCCCTGCTGGAGCGAAACCCACCGACCAAGAATAGAAGGAACCCCCCCCCCACCCCATCGCCCCTCTCTCTAGTCCTCCGCAGCCCTGGCCCGGAGCCACCCGGGCAAAGCCGGGCGCTGTCCAGCCCAGTCTGCCGGGCGAGAGGAAAAGGTGGGGAGGGGGTCTCCTCGCCGCGGTGGCCGCTGGGACTCGTAGTTCCCCACCCTGGGAGGGTTGCAGAACACCCGCTTCCGAGGAACTACGGCTCCCAGCCGGGCCTTGCGCGCGATCCACCGAAACTGGCGAGCTCTCCCAATTGCCAGAGCATCCCGGCCGGGCGCAGCGTGGAGTTCCCCCATCATCCACTCCCGGGGAGGGGTGGGGGGAAATGCAGGATGAACCCGGGGTCCGGACGGCTGTGGACGGCGGAGACCTCCGACGGAGGCGAGGCTGCGCGCAGGGTAAGGCTGCTCGCGCTCGCGGTGCCCCTGGGGGAGGAAAGCATCGCTCGTCCTCGGGCTTCTTGGAGAGGAGGGAGTGCGGTTCAGATTGGGTGGGTGGGTGGGTGGGAGGCGGTGGGGCGAGGCCAGGGAGACTCAGGGCGAGGAGGGGTCGTCCGGCTCCCCGGCAAACCTCCGGAGGACGCACAGGGACCGGAGGACGCACAGGGAAGGTCGGCGGGTCTTTCCCCGGTTCTTGATAGCTCAGGTATTTGGGGTTTGTTTATGTGTGTGCCTGTATCTGTGCAGAAAAGCCCACGGCGGTCTGGCTGAGACTTCCACTTGGGAGAAGGCACAAAGAGGAGGAGGGGGAAGAGTAGAAGGAGAGGGAAGAAGTGGAGGAGGAAGAAGAGGAGGAGGAAAAAGAGGGGGAGGGAGGGGAAGAGAAGAAGGAAGAGGAGGAGAATAAGGAAGAAGAGGAAGAAGTGGAGGCGGAAGAGGAGGAGGAGGAGGAAGAGTAGAAGGAGGAGAGGGAAGAGAAGGTGGAGGAGGAGGAGGAGGAGGAAGAGGAGGAAAAGAGAGGAGGAGGAGGAAAAGGTAGAAGAGAGGGAGGAGGAAGAAGAAGAGGAAGGGGGAAAAGGGAGGAGGAGGGAAGCTCTGGAAACCATCATTCTTCCTGCGATGGGCTCTACCCATCTTTCCTAGTCATAAAATGAGGCAAAACTCAGATGTCTCACTTAGCAACCGAAATATTGGACTCCCTGGCCGTCGTCGATTGAGGCCCAGCTGCATTCTTAATATTTGGAGGCCTTCGTGTTTGCTTATATTCTTTCCTTCTTTTCTATTCGGCTGTCTCCAAGTCCCGCCATGCCCCACTTACCCAGGGGAACCACAACCACTGGTTTGTGGGCAGGAACCGGGCCCCCCGCATGGCAGAAACCGGGCCGCATAAACAAGGGAAGCCCCATTCGCGGTCCCCTCCGGTCCACCCAAAAACCCTCCTCCGTGGTTCCTGGTGCCCGAAAGGTTGGCGGCCGCTGCATTAACCCAATAAATTAACCAGAAGATCGTGTAGAATAGAATGACAGGGTTGGAAGGGACCTTGGAGGTCATCTAGTCCAACCCCCTCCCTCCTGCTCCAGCAGGGGACCCTTAGGGAATCGTAGAACGGCAGAATTGGAAGGGACCTAGGAGGTGAACTAGAAACTCTCTCACATACGTGTATCTCTCGGCTTTGGGTGCAGGCACAGAATGAGGCCTTTCAAGCAGTGGGCGCCGCTGGCACAGCTCCAGACCAGGTGACCTTTGAGGACGTGGTGGTGGGCTTCTCGTTGGAGGAGTGGTCTCTGTTGGAGGACAGCCAGAAGGAGCTGCACCAGGAAGTGATGCTGGAGACCTGCTCTTTGCTCCTCTCGCTCGGTGAGCCCCCCCCCCCCCGGGACCCTTCAGTGCTTCTCGCCTTTCGTGGTGGGTGGGACAGCCTTGGGGGGTGATTTGGGTGCAGGGGGGGGGGAGGACACACATGACTTCTGTGGACTCAGCTTGTGGCTGGGAGAGGCTCCTCTCCTAGGAGTTAGGAGAGGCTGCTGGGGAATTGGGCCCTGCTCTGTCAAATGTCCCCCCCCCCCCCAGAGAAGAGAAATGGGTTTGGCTTCCCCTGCAATGAATCTTCCCGAGAAGGAAAAAAAAAACCCACGGAAGATGAAGAAGAGGTTCAAGCAGAAGACCAACTCCTCCTTCTCCTGTCACTCTCTTTCCCCCCCACCGTCTCCGGGCTCCTTTCTGCTCTCCGAGTTTTATCACAGGCATCTCACGACCCAACAAGGCAACGTCATCAATGGTAGAATACTTCTGGCACAAGCCTTCTGGCACTGATGATGTTCCCTAGTTGGGTCATTAAAGATCTGCGAGGAAACCACCAGATTCAGAGAGCACCAAGGAGGCCTCAATAATCCTCCTCCTCCTCCTCCTCCTCCTCCTCCTCCTCCTCTTCTACTCTATCAACCCCACTCCCTTCTAGCACTGATGATGTTCCCTAGTTGGGTCATGAAACGCTTGCAAGAAAAGCACCAGGCTCAGAGAGCACCAAGGAGGCCTCAATAATCCTCCTCCTCCTCCTCCTCCTCCTCCTCCTCCTCCTCCTCCTCTCCCTATCCCCCCTCCCTTCTAGCACTGATGATGTCACCTGCTTGGATCACCAGAGGTCTGCAACAAAAACGCCAAGCTGAAAGAGCACCAAGGTCTTCAGAGCCTCCCCCTCCTCCTCCCTCTCCACAAACCCCTCTCCCCTTCTAGCATGGATGAAAAGTCCCCTAGTTGGGTCATAAGACATCTGCAGGAAAATCACTAAGCTAAGAGATCTTCTTGTCCCCCATAGTCCTCCTCCTCCTCCTCCATTTCACAAAGCCCCCTCCCTTCTAGCACCAATGTTCTCTAAACTGGTCACGAAAAGTCTGCCAGAAACCCACCAAGCTCAGAGAACCATCTAGAACCCCCTTGCTCAACCCTGAGCTACAGATCTTCTCTTCTCTTCTCACCTCTCTCCTCATCTGTCTCCCCCCTCCCTCCCTCCCCTCTGTGCCTTCCATCCTTCCGAGGTGGGTAAAATGAGGACCCNGGAAAGACTTGGCAAGGAGTCTCTCGGATTAGCAAATCTTCACACTAATTAAACGAACTAATTGTCTCCTACAAGCACCGTTCCCCTTTTGCTCCTGTTTATTCCCTATGGGAGGGGCCATTCAGCGTCCACCTGTGGCCTTACTCCCAAATTGATCCTTGTTTCTTAGCTGTTCCCTTCTCCTGACAGCTCTGCACATGCGCACGCTGGGAACAGGCTCCAGCTGTTCTTCTGCCCCATTGATCTCCGACTCTGTAGGCAACTGTTATACGGCTCTGGCCCCCTCTCTGCCTCCGACACAGAGCCCTCATCAGAGCCTTCCCCAGACTCCAGGACTGGCCCATCTTCCTTCCCAACTCCACATTGTCTGAGTCTGTTGTCAGCTCCACTAGCCACTGGCAGGCCACAATATTAGGGAGTTTGGAACCGGTGAACTCAAGTGGCTGGGGAGCACATGCACACAACTCCATTTGCATAAGCGGTGGCCACTCTCGCCTGGGCATGGAGCTCCATATGTGCAAGTAGCGGGCACAAATGGCGCTTTACCCGCCAGTGCCTGTTGCTCACGTAAATGGAGATTTGCACACCAGAATACGTGCTGCCATGCACGCTGGAACCTTCTCTCTCCCCCCTCACTGTTCTACAAAGGGGGAAAGGTTGGGGGCCACTGGGCCAGGCTGAGGCAGGCTTCGATGGTGTCTTTTATTGCCAACCTGTGGGGCACGAGGGACCAGTTCCGTGGTTTTTCTGCAGACCGGAGAGGGCGTGGCTTTGTGTATGCCCTGCATCCTGCGCGCTGGTTTGAGTGGACTGGCTTGCCACAGGCTGTGGACCAGGAGTTTGGGACCCCTGCTTTATTGCTCTGCTATCCCACTGAAAACGGCCCTATCATGGCTGGTGGAAACCACCCCAAACTTCCCCAATGGCAGCTCCCCATGGTCAGTACAATGCAGGGCCCCCCAAAACTAAAGCCAATAGTGACCAGAGCTGATTCACAAGGCGAGGAGGAAGTCCGGAGTGCCAAAACAAGATATAAAGTCCACCAGGCAAGGCCCGTAGTCCCCAAACAATGGTCAAGATTCACAGGGCAGAAACACAGGGCGTCGGCGTTCCAAATATCATGCAGAATTAAATCAGAGTCTAAGGCAGAGCTATCCTTCCAATTTAATAAGACAGACATGTTGACATCATGCTATGGAATCCCAATTCTGGAAATGACATCAGAATTCCACCCAGTTAAAAGTTCATGATCTTGGGTGGGAGGGAGCGGAGTTTACTAAGTTGGAAGAGGGGTGTTGGAGTTTGCAGGAGACAATGAGTTTGCTTAATTGGTTCATGACTCTCCAAGGTTCCTTGCCAAGTTTTGCAGATATCAGCCTGGCAGCTCTCCAAGCC